TTTTTGAGACGGAGTTTCGCTCTTGTTGCCCAGGCTGGAGTGCAATGGCGCGATCTCGGCTCACCGCAACCTCCGCCTCCTGGGTTCAGGCAATTCTCCTGCCTCAGCCTCCTGAGTAGCTGGGACTACAGGCACGCGCCACCATGCCCAGCTAATTTTTTGTATTTTTAGTAGAGACAGGGTTTCACCATGTTGACCAGGATGGTCTCGATCTCTTGACCTCGTGATCCACCCGCCTCAGCCTCCCAAAGTGCTGGAATTACAGGCTTGAGCCACCGCACCCGGCCTATGCTTCCCCTTTTTAGACCAAATGGGGTAACTTTCTGAGCTTGCCATGGCATTTGTAAACTGTCATGGCGCTGGTGGGAGTGGAGCAGTGAGGACTCGTGGCCATTTTGGTGTTGGTGGGTTTTGGCCAGCTCCTTTACTGCAACCAGCTTTATCAGCAACGTCTTTATGGCCTGCTGGTCTTAGTGCTGACCTCCTATCTCATCCTGTGACTTAAAATGCCTTAACCGTCTGGGAATGCAGGACAGTAGGTTTCAGCCTCATTTTACCCAGCTCCTGTGTAAGATGCAGTTGTTCTGGTTCACAGGCCTCTGACATTATGGGCTGTTAATTACATCTGAGGCAGAACAAAGACATCAGGAATAGGATCCACACACTTCAGACAGCTTCCTCATTGCATGAAAATGGAGCCAAACAAGCAAAGATCTGATATGACCTCAGCTTTGCTCCTGGAATCACCCTCTGCCCAGTTCACACATTCCTGGCATGTCTTTCATTCTCTTGGGGGAAGAGAGCAAGTGGAGTTGCCAGGTTACTGTTGATGAAGGGCAATTTTTAGAAGCAGAAAGTCAGCGTCCTGTGCTGGATGATTCATCTTGCCCTCTGGGGCATGCTCTGAATGTTAAACAGTAACTATTTGTTGGTGATTAATCTGTTGGATTTTGCTCAACCCCTAATTCAAATGTCCATGATGGATAGATCACTTTTTTCTTTACACTACCTGTCAAGTATAAAATAGATGGATAACATTTCCCTTCCAACTGACTCAGAAAAATATGTTACAATTATTTGGTATTAAACTGTAAAAACAAAATGTTTACTAAATTATGTTAAAGTAGAGCTTGAACTTTCAGCTTTCTAGATCAACCATTACAATATGAAATTAGATTTGCCCTTAAACCCTCAAAGTTCTGGAATATGAGAAATTGAACTCAGAAATGTGTGAGTCCCATTTTTCAGCCTTTTCTTCCTTTTGCTTTGCAGATACTGAGATATAACCCATAGGCAGTTTTCAGATCCATTCTTCCAAAGGATTATGTAATCTTGCACAAGCTTCAACTTTTCTCATTTGTAAAATGGGATTAATAATATACTGAATTGTTGGGTCAAATGTGAAACACCCATATATCATTGCATATCAGTACATATATGCTATTTTTGTAGTAGGCCTCCAGAAAATGGAGGCTATATTACTGTTTCTCTTTCCCTCTCTTTCTTACTTCTTTTCTTTCCTCCCTTTCTTTTCTTTCTGGACTACCGGCGCCGCCCACCACCATGGCCGGCTAATTTTTTGTATTTTTAGAAGAGACAGTTTTACCCTGTTAGCCAGGATGGTCTTGATCTCCTGACCTTGTGATCCGCCCGCTTTGGCCTCCCAAAGTGCTGGGATTACAGGCGTGAGCCGCCATGTCCGGCCCTATTTCTTAAAAGGATACTTTCACTTGGTTCAAATTTCAAAAGATACAGTTATATGTTGTATCTCTTGAAATCTTTTCATTTCTATTCCCAGCCACATAATTTCCCTCCATGATGTGTTAGTTTCTTTTGCATCTTGCCAGATATTTTGTATACGTCTAAAAGTAAAAATGTACATATTTTCCCTACTTTTACAATTTTACATAATATCACATTATTGCCTGTTTTGGCTTTTAAAATAAAAATACATTTTTGAAATTGTTCATATCAGTATTTGCTTTTAAACAATTGAAGCTTAATTTAGGCATAGCTGTGCATTTGCGTGTCTCTCAGAGAAAGCCTGTTCAGCTTATGCAGGCGAGTTCTAACTTAATTACCAATTCTAACCCTTAGCCACTGGATATTCATTCATGCAGTCAACAAATATTTATTGAGACCCTACCGCGAGTTAGCCAGGGCCCTGGGAATCTGTATTCCCAAGAACAAAACGCAGCTCCCCAGTCTACCTCCAGCGGGTAGGAGACTGGGCGCCCCCTCCAGCTGGTCCCCCGTTGCGCCCTCCGAGCCCCTCCCGGGCAGCGGTCGGCGCCCGCCAGGCGGGGCTGGGGCGGGGCGGGCCGAGGGCAACAGGGCTCCGAGCGTCCCGGCGCGAGGACCAGGACGCTGCCAGGGAGGTGGGGGCTGTGCAGAGCGGGGCGCCGGCCCGACCCCCAGAGGAGCCGCTGGGCAGAGCGGGGTCGCCAGGGTGGGCGATCCCCAAGGCGACTTCCGGGCATCGCTCCAGGGAGAGAGCGGACACTCGTTCGGCTCTTGTGTCCTCTGCGCCGCAAGCGGCCCGCGGGGACTTACGGAGGCCACTTCCCGAACTCCTCACTTGCCACAGACAAGGATCCCGAGGCCCACAGTGGGCAAGGGGGAGTCAGAGCGGCGCTGGCAGGGCTGGCGCACAGCGCATGCAACAGCTGAGCAGACGAACTCGATTAAGAAACCAAGCACGCCGGGTGCCCAACAGGACCTCGGGCAGCAGAGGCTCCGGCCGCCGGGCTCGTGGCGGGGCGGGCAGCTGGCCCCCAGCCCTTTAAACTCACTGCGCGCGGGAACCCCTGCCCAACAACCAACGGCGGGTGGGGCCGAGCGGGGCGCGCGCTCTGCCGCCCAACGATCGCCCCGACCCCGCCCCGCCGCTGTCCAATGAGCTGCCCTCTTGCCGCCAGTCTCCCCGGCCCTACGAACCACGCGGAGGGAAGGCGGGGCGGGGCGGCAGGCGGGTGTGTCCCGGCAAGCGCGGACGCCGCGCGCTCCGCTGGAGTTTCGAACGCTGTTGGCCCCCGAGACAGAAAAAAATATAAGAGCGGCGGCCAATGGCGAGGTGGGAAGGACCCGCGCGCAGACCCGGCCCCGCCCCCGCCGGAGGGACAGAAGGCCGGGCCTGGCCATTGGCTCGCGCCGCCTGTCACTCGTCGGTGCGACCAGCGGGCAGCGGCCTCGCGGTGACTGGTTCCGCCCAGGCGCGAAATGTAACGCGGGAAAAGCCAGGGCAGGCACCGCGGCGGCAGGTTGTTATTTTTGGGGGCTCAGCGCCGCGCGTCCTGCTTTCCTGTCACCGCAAGTGCCCGGCAGTCCGCCGCTTCCCGCGGTTGCAGCCTGCGCTGCGGCGTACGAAGAGCGGAGGGCGCTTGACCTGGGGCCGGGGTCCAGCCCTGCCCGCCCGTGCCGGCCGCTCAGTTCCTTAGGTGGCCGCTGCGCAGGATTCCGGGACGCGTCCGTCTGCAATGAGCCGGCAGCACTGAGCCGGCGACTCGGAGCAGAGCGAGCGAGGGACAGAGCGGTGCTCAGGGGTGCGGCCCGGGGCCGCCGGAGCTGCGGGTCGGGCCGGGCGATGATCCGGGGCGTGGAGGCGCCCATGGCGGAGAACCCGCCGCCGCCCGTCATCTTCTGCCACGACTCCCCGAAGCGGGTGCTGGTGTCGGTCATCAGGACGACCCCGATCAAGCCTACGTGCGGAGGGGAGCCGGAGCCGCCGCCGCCGCTCATCCCCACCAGCCCCGGCTTCAGCGACTTCATGGTGTACCCGTGGCGCTGGGGCGAGAACGCACACAACGTGACGCTCAGTCCCGGGGTCGCGGGGGCCGCCGCCTCGGCCGCCCTGCCCGCCGCCGCCGCCGCCGAGCACTCGGGGCTTCGGGGCCGGGGCGCGCCCCCGCCTGCCGCCTCGGCCTCCGCCGCCGCCTCGGGAGGTGAGGACGAGGAGGAAGCGAGCAGCCCAGACAGCGGCCACCTCAAGGTGAGCGGCGCGGGCGGGCGGGGCACGAGGCAGCCGGGGCCCGTTAACGGCGCGGCAGGCGGGGCAGACTTGAAAACGCGAGGTCGATCTGGCCGCGGCGGGGGCTGTGGCTGACAGGATGCTGACGTCACTACCGCGCGCCAAAAACCGGCCCCCGGCCGGGGGGGGGGCGCTGTCACGTGACAGGCGGGAGCGGCGCGGGAGACAGTCCTTGAGGCAGGTGCAGTGGGCGGGAGCGCGGCCCGAGTTCGCTGGGGAGACGGGTCAACGGCCCCTGCCATCCTCCCGGCGGGCTCCCGAGTCCTCAGTTCCGACAGGAAGGGAGGGGGATGAAGGCCTTGAGTAGTTCCACCGAGTGCGAGCGGGAAGGGAGCGCACAGTGTCTGCTCTGTTACTGCAGATCGCCCTGGCCCTGTTCAAAGATGCCCTGCAGAGACAGCCGAAGAGCAGGAAGGGACTTCGGGGCGTCTTCTGCGGCTGCAGTTGTGCTTCGCTGCCTTTCGTTTATCCAGCATACTACTTGCTAGGTGTTGAAAGCACGTAGTGGAATGGGACGCTAAAATTGCTGGCAGTCTCAGACTGCTTAAAGCTGGGAAGATTGTGACCACTGGTTCAAATCTACATTTTTCAGATGAGGCAGCTGAGGCTTAGAGTGATTAGTGAGGCGACCTCCCCATAATCGCACAGCTCGATAATGGGACCGCCGGGACTAGGTCGAGGCTTTGTGGCTCTTAGTTCTGCCTGTGTTTGGGGGGCTTTTCTGCTGACTAATACTGGGCTCTCTAGACTGTAAGCTCCAGGAGAGCCAGGAGTATTTCATCTGGAAGACCATATGACTTTAATATAATATACTCCGTAAAAGTGCTAAAAAATATTTGTGTAATGGGTGCTAACAGAAGGTTAATATCCAGGTTCCATTTGTTAAGTGGCTGTATAACATAAGCAATTTGCAAGACGTATAACGAGTAAATCACATAGTGGATATCTGCATCTGTACCACCACATGATGCATAAGTTGAAACGAGTTTGATCATTTTACATGCAGTCACGATGAAATTCTACATTGTTTGAGCTTTGAGGAAATGGATACATTTTATGTGACGTTATTATTAAATATAAAGTTATAAAACTATAGGTTTTGACACACTTCAACTCTGGAAACTGCACCTCAGTAAACATTTGAAAGAACAAGAGCCTGGTGAGGAAGTTCATGCCTGTAATCCCATCGGGAGGCTGAGGCTGGAGAATCACTTGAGGCCAGGAGTTCAAGACCAGCCTGGACAACATAGTGAGACCCTATCTGGCAGCCTGCACCTGTGGTCCCAGCTACATGGGATACTGACGCAGGAAGATCACTTGAGGCCAGGAGTTTGAGGCTACAGTGAGACATGATAGCACCACTGCACTTCCGCCTGGGTGACAAAGCAAGACTTCAACTCTTTAAAAAAATTGAAGCTTGCTGGGTGTGGTGGCTCATGCCTGTAATCCCAGCACTTTGGGAGGCGGGTGGATCTCTTGAGGTCAGGAGTTCGAGACCACCCTGACCAACATGGTGAAATCCTATCTCTACTAAAAATAGAAAAATTAGCCGGATGTGGTGGTGGGCACCTGTAATCCCAGCTACTTGGGAGGCTGAGGCAGGAACCTCGTTAGAATCCAGGAGGTGGAAGTTGCAGTAAGCCGAGAACATGCCATTGCACTCCAACCCGGGGGGACAGAGTGAGACGTCATCTCCAAAAAAAAAAAAAAAAAAATTGAAGAAACTAATAATAAAAGCATTGATAATATTGCTGAGTATTGCTGAAGGCTACAATTAGATATATGGGTATCCTAGATATTTTTGTGGTAATGATTTATAAGTTTTAGTCTTTTCTAAAAAACACATTAGATTATGTAGTTGAACAATATAAAGGCATTCATCCACAAATTCTTCTTTAAGATTTTGCCTTTATGATTTTATTATAAATCTAGTTCTGGGTCACCCAAGAAGATTAATGTTATATAAATGAAATCTATAGATACATTGTTTTTGGTCTAAAACAGACTTATCCTCACTCACCCAAACATTTTATAAAAGTTGCTAGCAGTGGCCAGGTACCATGGCTCATGCCTGTAATTCCAGCACTTTGGAAGGCTGAGGCGGGGTGAATCATGAGGTCAAGAAATAGAGACCATCCTGGCCAAAATGGTGAAACCTCATCTCTATTAAAAATATAAAAATCACCTGGGCGTGGTGGTGCATGCCTATAAGTCCCATCTACTTAGGAGGCTGAGGCAGGAGAATTGCTTCAACCTGGGAGGTGGAGGATGCAGGCTGCACTCCAGCCTGGTGACAGAGCGAGACTCTGTCTCAAAAACAAAAAAAGTTGCTAACAAGATGCATAGGTTTGAAGTGTATTTCCTGATGTATACCTCTTTTCAGAGGTAAAGTATACCAGAAGTTGTGAAAAACGTGTAAAAGTGAAAAGGCTGTTTTTATAGTTCTGCTTTTTTCCTTTCTCATGCAGTTTTTCCTATTGTAACTTTCATAAATTATTTGATCAATTGATTCGAATGTGTCTTTCTATTGAGGAAGCAATCCACATGCAGCTCCAAAAATTCATTTGTTTAGCTTTCCCACGGTAAGAGAGAAGGGTCTGGAATATATCTTTATTTAAGGAAGTTGCTAGACTGTTTTGTGGGGCAAGAAAAAAGGAAAAAAATGGGCCGGGCGCGGTGGCTCAAGCCTGTAATCCCAGCACTTTGGGAGGCTGAGGCGGGTGGATCACGAGGTCAAGAGATCAAGACCATCCTGGTCAACATGGTGAAACCCCGTCTCTACTAAAAATACAAAAAATTAGCTGGGCATGGTGGCGCGTGCCTGTAATCCCAGCTACTCAGGAGGCTGAGGCAGGAGAATTGCCTGAACCCAGGAGACGGAGGTTGCGGTGAGCCGAGATCGCGCCATTGCACTCCAGCCTGGGTAACAAGAGCGAAACTCCGTCTCAAAAAAAAAAAAAAGAAAAGAAAAAAATAAGGAAACTGCTTAGTTTGATTTGTGGTCAATACACTGAACTTAAAAAGATAGGTAGTCCCAGCCCCTTTTCTCTGTTTTGCTTCTTTAAAGTACTTTTTCTTTATCTCCATGTGTATCATAGGTGAATTGTGCTGACCAAGGCTCCTCATTTTTGGGGAAGACAGGAGACAAGTTAACATGCTCCCAATATGCCACATAGAGGCACTAACAGCTGTGGGTTTGAGAACAACATTTGTGTTCATTTACTGTCTATTCTTTGCCACTGCTCCCAGGGGAGGTGTTAACATCTGAGTCCTGCACACCCTGTGTCAGTTTTCTCTTTGTCTTTTGTTTGTTCCTGCCCCACACTGCCTCCCTCGCCTGTGGGAACACCTACCAGCTTCTTCTGGCTGCTCATCACACGATTGCTTAGCACTGTCGGCATATAATTATATATTGTCTTATTCTGGATTGCAGAATTCTGAGAGAGAAGAAAGCAGGTCTGACTGCCTTCTGCCACAGGATGTTCCAAGACTCCCCACCTTGTCCCTCTACTCAGACTGTGTTTGAAGTACTTCTCCACTGTGGGGCCGGTGGGGTCTGGGTTCTCAGATACTATTCACCCTGTAGGATCCACCAGCTGCCTATCCTGTTTCCCTTTTCTGTGTCACCTGAGCACTACAAACACCTAGACTGCACATACTATTACGAATAGCTGGCTTTTAAATACTTTTTGGGTAATACATAAATTCATACTACTTATGAATAGTACTTTTTGAGCACCATGTTAAACCTAACGTCATGTTAACGTAATAAGCACTATTTATTGCCTGGCACAGAGTAAGCATTTCATAATGTTAGCAGCAAACTAATGGGCTCTGTGTTGAGCATTTTGAATTATTTAATTCATTTTATCCTGTTTAACTGTTGAGGAATGAGAAATTGAAGAGTCCCCAAGACAAAGTTTAGTTAAGATTGTATGGTAAGTGGCAGAACTGATTGGAACCTTCCAGAGTCCCTGTTCTTAGTCTCTATACCACACCGCTCCTGGGACTATCACGTGTAAATGGACTTCAGGGTTTTGTTTGTTTTTTTGTTTATTTATTTTTGAGACAGAGCTTCACTCTTGCTGCCCAGGCTGGAGTGCATTGGTGCGATCTTGGCTCACTGCAACCTCTGCCCCCTGGGTTCAAGTGATTCTCCTGCCTCAGCCTCCTGAATAGCTGGGATTACAGGCACCCGCCACAATGCCCAGCTAATTTTTGTAATTTCATTTTTTTTTTAGACGGAGTCTCCCTCTGCTCTGTCTTCTGGTCTATTTTTACTTTTTAAATGTTAAGCTGATATAAGTAGACATAAGACACACTACTGGCCGGGCGTGGTGGCTCATGCGTATAATCCCAGTACTTTGGGAGGCCAAAGTGGATGGATCACTTAAGGTCTGGAGTTTGAGACCAGTCTGGCCAACATGGTGAAACCCTATCTCTACGAAAAATACAAAAAAATTAGCCAGGTGTGGTGGTGCATACCTGTAGTCCTGGCTACTCGGGAGGCTGAGGCAGGAGAATCCTTTGAACCCTGGAGACGGAGATTGCAAAGAGCTGAGGTTGTGCCACTGCACTCCAGTATGGGTGACAGTGAGAGATTCTGTCTCCCAAAAAAAAAAAAAAAACTTACTATTTATAGCTTATCTATATCTCAATTGAGGTGCTTTATAAGAGTGCACTCAATTCAGTAAACTGGAATTAAAATTTGAGAAGTGAAGATAGGTCAGGATGAGAAGCAGGGTTAGGAAGCATGTATGCGAGCCATGGAAAGTTTGCATCTAAATCTGAATGTGAAAAGGTTCACACGCCTCCCTCTGAGACTTATTTCCTTCTACATTGTGCTTGTACCCTTTATTTGAATTCTACTTAAATAAAAATGTGTCAAGGACTTTTAGGTTTTTTAGTTATCATATGACTAAACACTTTCAAAATCACTAATCTACATTCTAGAGGTATGG